CTTTAACTGGCTTTACCATATCCTTTGTCTTCTTCACCGAATCTACTGTTGCATAATTCAAAACCTTCTAACTAGTCTAAGGATAACTGTGGGAAGTGAGCTGTTCTTGACCAATGACAGTTTCCTCTTATAGTAAAACTACCGCTCTGGTTTTAGAAACCAGAAAATCTTGAACTAAAACAGTGTTTGATATTAACCCGTTACGGCATCTCCAGCAAAACCGAACAGAACCAGAAATAAAGGAGGGGGGAGGGGGGAAGGGGTTACCACCTGTTGGTCAAAATAATGGGACTCTTGTATATTAGGTCTGTAACTATAAAAAAAAAAACAAAAACATTTTCATTCAATCACAAATAAATAGAGACCTAGAAAACTTTCAATTATTTCTGAAAACTATATTAAAGTGACTGATATTAAACCTAGTTACTTTTTTTATAAAAAATTTCCTAATATGACAAAGCAACTTTGACTCGACTGTCAGATTTTGTGGCTCTTTCATTTAGGTGTTTACCTTGGTCAAATTCTATCATCTCTTCTTCATCTGAAGCCAAATTCTGCAGCTTCACAATCGTTTTTAATTTTAATCAAAACAACTTTTCTAAATTTTTTTAGTTAAATGTCAAAGAGGAAATAGCTTATTCGACAAAAAGAAAATTCAATAAACAACAACTGTAAACGCAAAACAGATTCAATAACGCAATACAATAATCACATTTAAGATTAAAGAGATTTTCCAAAGCATTGTTTATATCTGGAATAAATGATACATTGTCATCCTGTCGTAAGAAGAATTATTTTTTTGAAGGGTGTGAAAGGTGATCGGCATTTACCGACATTTCATACCAACAAATAGGTGACAGAGACAGCAGCACCAGTAAAAAATTATATATGTAAAATTTATAATAGATTTATTATTTCTATTTATTATCATATACTTATTTATTATAATACACTTCAATTCTGCCCTTCAGGTCCTACCACCTCCTTGACCATTGGAGAGGTCAATCTAAAGCATTTTTTTGATCTGAAAATCTAGAGCTTCCTCCATCAGCGGCTTTCTTCAAATCAAAAATTAGTTTTCTCAAAGTAAATACTTGAGCATTTTCCCAAAAGTTTTATTGAGGTTAAAGCTGAAATTTAAAGAAAAAAAATTTTTATTGCAACTACCAACAGTAAACTTAACTGGATAGCTGTTGTCAACTGCTCTACTATGTTCCTATGGGAACTTAACTTGATTTAATGACGTTCCATTGACAGTCTAATTTTCGCATTATACGTTCCATATGTTGACAAGTTCGGAGGGTTTAGGAGTCACGAGAAAGAGGCTTGGAAGAGTGCAGCTTGCGGTTTAACTCCGTGTTTAATTCATTATCACAAGTTTCTTCAAGTTCCTGAACTAAACCAGGATATATTTCTGCTCTCAAAAACAACGCTCAATATAGGGCCTTTGCTTTGCCCGTAAACAATTCTTGTCGTGACCTTTCGAGATTTCTTAAACAGTTCTTCAGTCTCAAAGGTAATAGATCACGGCACTTCAATTTATATGTGAGAACTTTGATGGGTCTGGCTAACGACTGCTATTCTAAACTTTATTGACAGATGATCTGAAATATGATAAAATACAACGTGAATGGGAAGAGTAAAATTTATATGTACAAGGATCCAATATATAATGAGAAAGAACAAAATACCGACAGCAAAATAAATCATAAAGTGGTGTCAAATAAAGTGTAGAAAGGAAGCTAAAGCTTTTAGAGCTTGATGTCCTATCCAACGTAGGTATTAGAAGTCTTTTCTCCAATAATACCGAGAGGGAATATCCCCCTTGTCTTGACGAATCCTTTTATGTTGGTCCTCATATCAGATATCGCTAGTCCTTAGTGATAGTGGCCAGCTGATAACAACATGCAGATGTTTGCGATGTAAAGCCGATAGCAATGTTGTATCTACGATCGAGACATTACACCTTCAGCTTTCGTTAATCTCTCACCCGGATATGTTGTGATAATTTAAAACATCCTCCGTGGCGGCGAAATGGTGG